TTCCCTCCTCTCGGTTTCTACCTTCCCTCCTCTCGGTTTCAGCATCAGAAGGCCGAACCTCGGCCAGATTTCGGAAATTTGTCACTTTTAGCCCATTTTTGATATTTTTAACATTTTAAGCCCGTTTTTCGTGATTTTAAAGCGGGATTTTCTCCAGAAATTATATTTTAACATAATAAACTCTAAATATTCATAATTTAAACATATTTTGATGAAAATCATTATCTAAATAATAAAAATCAAATGGGTGAATTATTAAAGGTGGAGTGTTGACTTTGCCTTATCCAATGTCACAAGCAACCACCCCACACCCACTCTTTGACTAACCACACCTCCCCACCTTACCTAGGTCACTTCAATGTCACTTACACTCAATTTACACTCATTCCCACGTTTTTAGAGCTGGAACAAACATCCTCTCTCCTCATTTCTCTCATTTGCCCTCATTTCACTAAGTATCAAACACCACTTTTCTCTCAAACTTTTTCCACTCCAATTTCGAGATTCAAGGCTGATTTTCAAGTGTTCTTCCACTCGTAGTAAGTATAATTCATCCTCCTTATAATTATTTCACTTCATTCTACTCAAATCATGAATATCTTACACAAACTCCATCATATTAGCGTTAGAGCTTCGAATCTTCAAGTGATTCTTCAAGTGTTCTTGAGTTGAGCACCCCTTCTCTCCATCATCCATCCACTCAAATCACTCAAGGTGAGTTCATACCCCTACATTTTTATGTTTTCTCAAGTTTTCAGGGGGGGGGGGGGAATACAAGTTAAAACACTAAGAACATAACTAAATTTTTCTAACAGCCTTCATCAGAAAAGTTCAACTCCATTCACGGACTGTTTTGGGCATCTTAAACATTTTTGTTTTCAAAACTGTACAAGGTGCAAATAGTTCAAGTTCTTAGCTTTAAAATGGCTACTTGCACATCTCCATACGATTTTTCTACAATTTATGATGATTTTTACAAAACTGCCTATCATTTCAAACAACAATCCAGACCAGTCTGTGATTTTGGACTTATTCACCCAAGTTGGAGGTCGTTAAAAATCGTGATAAAAATTATGAGTAAACTAGACACATTTTCTGAACTCTCAGAATTTACGGATCTAGTTTTCGACTTCGTATGATTTTTCTATGATTTTTCTAAAACAGTGCTGAAAGACGAAGAATTAATTAACAGCTTCTAACTATCAAAACACTTTGTAACATGTTGAGCAAAGTGTTAAATCTTTGATAACTTCATATATTACATGTATTTCTTGTTGTGATATATTTATATAATAGGAAATTACTTGCTGAATTTATAAGAATCCTCCATCATAATCATTAGTACAAAACAAAGCAAGTTAAACATGGCTATATTGTACTATACATTTGACTTACATAGAATGGGATTCTTAAACACTACAAAGAAATATACTAAACTATAATAGGTATAGTTAGGGTACATATACATTTCAAACAATTTAATAAACTATAATAGGTATAGTTTATGATACATCACTCAACACACTCGTACAAAAAGGGGTACAAATACAAAGTGTCAGGTCTCTATACAAAAAGGGGTACAAATACAAAGTGCCGGGTCTCTATACAAAAAGGGGTACAAATACAAAGTGCCGGGTCTCTATACAAAAAGGGGTACAAACACGAAGTGTCGGGTCTCTATACAAAAAGGGGTACAAATACAAAGTGTCGGGTCTCTATACAAAAAGGGGGTACTGATACAAAGTATCAGGTTCACTTAAGATAGTTATTATTAAATCAAACTATATTTCATCTAGAATTGTTAGACTTCAACTATAGTCGCTGAGCGTATATGTTTGAGTCATATAAGAATTTAGTCTTGATTGGCCTAGAATTGGTGGTGCCCGCCTCATCTCCTGTTCCTCGTTGGGTTGTGGACCTAGGGCAGACCCACTATATTCAACGTTTTATCTAATTTAAACCTTATATAACTTTTATGCGCTGGACGATTATAGAGGAACTCTACGGGTTACTCTAGGGTTCATTAATGCATCATATAGGAATATTTCTATTCACACTTAACTAAGAAAATATTGGATTTTCTGGAAATCAAACTATATTTCATCTAGAATTGTTAGACTTCAACTATAGTCGCTGAGCGTATATGTTTGAGTCATATAAGAATTTAGTCTTGATTGGCCTAGAATTGGTGGTGCCCGCCTCATCTCCTGTTCCTCGTTGGGTTGTGGACCTAGGGCAGACCCACTATATTCAACGTTTTATCTAATTTAAACCTTATATAACTTATATACACTGGACGATTATAGAGGAACTCTACGGGTCATTCTAGGGTTCATTAATGCATCATATAGGAATATTTCTATTCACACTTAACTAAGAAAATATTGGATTTTCTGGAAATCAAACTATATCGATTTTACAAGGAAAACGGTTTCTACTTCAAACAAAACTCTTATGAACTCACCAACTTAATTGTTGACACTTTTCAAAACTACTTGTATTCTCAGGAAATCAGTGAAACAGGAAAACTTCATCGCTTTGAGGATGGGACGTTAAACCGTCAACAATTTATTTTTGTCATCATAATGTAATTGACTTTGAATCATGTAAACATATACTTTGGTGTAACTTTTTCAATTATATTTATGATGGTTGTATTTACTTTGAGCACTATTATTTTCATTATTGTGATACTGTACATGAAGTCCTCCACCCCCGGACGTTTCCGCCATCCTTGGTTTGGGGGTGTGACAGTCGAGTGCACTCATGTAACTCATCGATTCCACTCGTATCCTCAGAAGTCTCGTGAAGGTTCCATTCAGCTCGTCGAGTTGACCCCCAATTCGACGAGTTATCGCTTGGCTGCGAACACCGAGACGGACCCGAGCTGATTCGTCGAGTCAGTTCATGGAATCGGCGGGTTTACTCAATCAAATCTCCCATTCAGACGTTCAAAGACAGATCAATTACTCCAAACCCTAGATCTAGCCTCCTAAGGTCTAAAAGTCACGTAAAGTTTTGATCTTTATGACCATGCATGATATATATTACTCTAAATGCCATCACAACTCTAACAAGGGCACCAAAACACAATAACTCATTAAGTGACTGAATAAAGCTTGAGCCTTTGGACCCTTTGAACCTCACAAGGTCCATATCTGAAGTCTAGACCTAGAAAGGGACTCCATGTACTCATATCTCAACAAAAAGGTGATAGAAAACCATATTCATCAAAAACATGAGATCTAATCACCACAAGGAGAAAGGTGAGAACTTTTTACCTTCTCTAGAAGCTTTTGGACGAAATAACACTGATCTACTGGCCCCCTTCTTGTTCCTTGATGAATCTTGCCCTTCCTTTTCAAAAGAAATGTACCAAAAGACCCCAAGATTAGCTCCTTTCACACTCTCTAGCTCAAAAGGACGTTAGGGTTTACTCTCAGTGAAGGTGAGCCGCAAATGAGGCTATAAATGCCCTTAAATAGGTCCTAAACCTGAAGATTTAGGGTTTCACCACACAACGTCTACTTGGCGAGTCGACTCTCGGACTCGTCGAGTAGACCACTAATCCCTCGTGGCAAATCGCGACTCTACTCGACGAGTTAGACTCACAACTCGTCGAGTCACTCAATAAACCTCAACATTAACCACATGAAATAATATACCCGTGAGTACTCCGGATGTTACATTTTTACTGCAAGGACAAAAAGTGTCAAAGCCACTAAAGATTTGTGGCAAAACCCTAAAGGCATAAAAACTTAATCAAAACACAAAAATGTAAAATTTTTCACTTCAAGTATGAAAAGTGTCAAATTCACCAAACATTTGTGGCAAAAACCTAATGACAAAAACACCAAAACCTAAAGACACAAAACGTTAATCAAAACACGAAAATGCAAAAAATTTCACTTTAAGGATGAAAAATATCAAATTCAATAAATGTTTGTGGCAAAATCGTAAAGCCACAAAATTTACTATTCATAAGGTATGGCATGCTTTAATATATATATATATATATATATATATATATATATATATAAATAATAATAATAATAATAATAATAATAATAAAATGAGGTAAAGCAAAACAAAAGAAAGAAAAACAAAAAAGAAAAGGTGGTAAACAATCTCGATATGCCCGCTAATACATTTCTTACGCAATTCCAACAAAATTGTAATTTTAATATTTATTAATATTTTGTTTGTATTTTGTACGAAACTTCTGATGCTTTTCCGTTGGAATCTTTAAGGTATTTATTCCTATAGGAAATTTTTAAGATTTTTGTTGGATTTTGATTTTGTGGTAAGTTTGTAGGAAATTCGATGCATATTTCCTAGAAAACACTTTGAAATATTTTGTAGCTAAAACCAAATATTTTAGTAGCATATATTTAAACCTTTATTGGAGAATTGAAGCTATTTGGAATGAAAACATTTTAGGGTAAATTACACCAATCGTCCCTCGACCATCGTCCCTCGATCAGGTGCTGGAAAGCACGTTTAGTCCCTATTTTTAAAAATTAATTCGGACCGTCTCTATGTTTGATTTTTCTTACACGCTTAGTCCCTATTGACATGAAATGACTGTTTTACCCTTAATAATTTCTTTTTGTCTTTTCTTTTATATCTTTAACAGTTTTAAATTAATAAAAAATAAACCAAAAGTCCCCACACCCCAGTCCACCCCACCCTCCCTTCCCACTTCTTTTTCTATTTTCCTTCTACATTGCCTGGAAACCATAACCACTATATACCACCGACTACCACCGGAAACCACAGTCCACCACCACCTGAAGCCGCCAAATAGCATCGCTTCTCTCCCTCCCTCTCCCTGTCTCTCATAGAGCTCTCTAGTTTTCTCTATTTCATATCGTCTCTCTAAACTCTATCACCTCCCTCTCTTCTCTATCCTCTTTCTCAAATCTGGCACCACCACCTATCACCGCCACCACCTCCTGAAACTTGTAATCAAAATCAAACCCCCAAAGTGAAAATCAGACATGAATGTGACAGTGGAGCTCGATCTGAAACCTGTGGTGGTTGTTCGGAAACCTAGCAACGACGATCTTAGATTTGAGACCCTAGGCGGCAGTGATTTTCATGATCAGGCGGGCGGAGTAGTTCTCGACAGTTTCTTTCACAATCCACAGTCTTTTATGATGTAGTTAATGATCTAAAACTGCTGATTCGAAACCCTTGACAGTTTGAAACCCACCTTACAGAGATCTTAGAGGCAGCATCTCTGAAATCCTAACCAAAATCGATGGCGGCACAGATTTAACGTAGCGCTAGCTGATGGAAAATGTGTTTGACCTACCTGGTTCCCTTTATTGGAAAGATATTCGCCGCCCCTTATGGATCGATCATTTTCTATGTCGTCGTCACCTATCAACCCCCTCAATAGAAAGATCTAGATTGATCTTTGTTTGTTGTCTAGGGATTTCATTTTTTTTTTTTTTGGTATTTCATATTAAAATCGGAGAGAGAGAAAAGAGAGGCAGGTGGGTTATGGTTCATCGATGGTGGTAGGCGGTGGTCCGATGACTCTCTTTCTCCGACGAGATAGTGTCTTCTCCGGTGGTAGCTTAGGGAAAAGAGGATTTAAAGGGGAGGGGGTTAAGATATGGTGGGTAGGGTGGGTTTTTTATTTTATTTTGTATTTTATAAATAATTATAAGAAGGAAAAATAATTCAAAATAATAATAAAAAGGGCATAACAGTCATTTCATATCTCACAAATGATGAAACATGCAAATTTAAACTAATGATGGATGGCATCTGCAACTTTCAACCAATCAAGAGACGGTTTCGAGTTAATTTTTGAAAATAGAGACTAAACGTGCTTTTAAGCACTTGATCGAGAGACGACCGGTGTAATTCACCCAACATCTTAATATTTGTGATTGTGTGTATTTCTAACAGTATTTTTTTTTTTTTTTTCTGCTGCTGAAAGATTTGAATTCAAAAACACGTTATCTTTAGAATTCATGTGAATCATATATGAAAAGTTGCCATTGCAACTTGCAACGTGGTTCAATTTTGTCCACATCTTTACTATGATAATAATTGAAATCGTTCTCCTCGAGTACCTGTGCATCCCTTTCATCAACATAAAACAATTATTGATCATATCACTCTGTAGATCCACTCCACCACCGGACCTTTACTATATTCTCCGCCCTTACAACAATGGCTGAAATAGTACTTTCTGCCTTCTTCTCGGTGTTATTTGAAAAGCTAGCCTCTGATTCGTTGAAGAAGCTAACTCGCCTTAAAGGAATTGATTCCGAGATCAAGAAACTGAAGCGATCACTAAACCAGATCAAATTTCTGCTTAATGATGCTTCTCGTAAGGAAATAACTGATGAAAGTGTTAAAGAGTGGCTTAATGGTCTCCAACATCTGGCTTACGACATTGACGACCTACTTGACTATTTGGAAACCGAAGCTATGCATCGTGAGTTGACCAAGGAACGGGGAGCCTCCATAAACGTGGTAAGAAATCTCATCCCGACTTGTTGCACAAATTTCTCAGTAAGTACAAGTATGCATAGCAAGTTGGATGATATTACCACCAAGTTACAAGAACTGTTCGAGGAAAAAGAAAATCTTGGTTTAAGTGTGAGAAGTGAAAGCCCAAAACAGATGAACAGACGATTACAGACCTCTTTGGTTGATGCATCTAGTATTGTTGGGCGTGAAGATGAAAAGGATGCGTTGCTCCACAAGCTACTCCGGGATGAAGCATGTGATAAAAACTTTAGCATCGTGCCCATAGTTGGTATGGGTGGGGTAGGTAAGACCACTCTAGCTAGACTTTTGTATGACGAAATGCAAGGGAATGCTCACTTCGAACTCAAGGCGTGGGTTTGTGTTTCCGATGAATTTGATATCTTCAATATAAGTAAAGTTATCTTTCAATCCATAGGCGGGGAAAACAAAGAATTTAAGGACTTAAATCTTCTTCAAGTAGCTTTAAAAGAGAAGATCTCAAAGAAAAGATTTCTTCTTGTTCTTGATGACGTGTGGAGTGAAAGCTATACCGATTGGGAAATTCTAGAACGCCCATTTCTTGCAGGGGCACCTGGAAGTAAGATTATCATCACCACTCGGAAAATGTCGTTGCTAACCCAGTTGGGTTACAATCAACCTTACAGTCTCTCGGTTTTATCACGTGACAATGCTGTATCTTTATTTTGTCAACATGCATTTGGTGAAAATAACTTTGATTCACATCCAACACTTAAACCACATGGGGAAGGTATTGTCGAAAAATGTGATGGTTTGCCATTGGCTTTGATAGCACTTGGGAGGTTATTGAGGACAAAAACAGATGAGGATGAATGGAAGGAACTTTTGAATAGTGAGATATGGAGCTTAGGAAAGAAAGATGAAATTACTCCAGCTCTTAGACTAAGCTATCATGATCTTTCTTCCAATTTGAAGCTGTTGTTTGCATATTGTTCCTTGTTCCCTAAGGACTACATGTTTGACATGGAGGAATTGATTCTATTATGGATGGCAGAAGGGTTTTTGCGTCAATCAACGAAAGGGAAATCAATGGAACGCATGGGTGTTGAATGTTTTGAAGACTTGTTATCAAGGTCATTTTTCCAACATGCACCCAATGACAAATCGTTATTTGTGATGCATGACCTGATGAATGACTTAGCCATGTTTGTTGCTGGAGAATTTTTTTCAAGGTTAGACATTGAGAAGAAGAAGGAAATTGGGAAGGATGATCCGGGTAAGTATCGCCATATGTCATTTGTTTGTGAGAAGTATATGGTTTACACAAAGTTCGAGGCATTCAAAGGAGCTAATAGTTTGAGAACATTCTTAGCATTATCTTCTGAGCGAAACAGTTGGCAACAATTCCACTTATCGAATAAAATTCTGACAGACTTAGTTCGTGATTTACCATTATTAAGGGTCTTAAGTTTCAGTGAACTTAGCATAAGCGAGGTACCAGAATTCATTGGCAGTATGAAGCACTTGCGGTATCTTAATTTTTCTAGAACTAAAATTACACATTTGCCTGATAATGTCTGTGACCTTTATAATTTACAGACATTGATTGTTTCTGGCTGTTATGGTTTGAAAAAGTTGCCTGAGAACTTCTCAAAGCTTAAAAAATTGCGGCATTTTGACATGAGGGATACTCCACTTTTGAAGAAGATGCCATTAGGGATTGGTGAGTTGAAAAGCCTACGGACTCTCTCTAAGATCATTATTGAAGGAGACAACGGTTTTTCAATAACCAAGCTTAAAGATCTAAAGGATCTCCAAGGTAAAATTTCCTTTAAGGGGCTTGACAAAGTGCAAAATCCGATGCACGCACAGGAAGTGAACTTATCCCACCGGAGGCTAAGTGAGTTAGAGGTGGAATGGAGTGATGTATTTGATAATTATCGAAAGGAAGTAGTTGAACAGGAGGTCCTGAATGCGATGAAGCCTCATAACGAAAATCTAAAACATCTCAGCATTGTGTCATATGGAGGTACAAAGTTTCCGAGTTGGGTTGGGGATCCCTCATTTCATCGGTTGGCTGAAGTGACATTAAATGGTTGTAAGAAGTGTACATCTCTACCGCTACTCGGCCAGCTACCATCACTTAAGCAGTTGGTTATTGAAGGCATGGATGAGGTGAAAGTTGTGGGTTTGGAGTTTCTTGGGACAACTGACCATGCATTCCCTTCACTTGAGTTTCTAAGTTTTAGAGATATGCAGGGGTGGGAGGTATGGTCAACCTATAATAGTGGGGCTGTTGATACAGCATTTCCATGCCTTCAAGAGCTTTGGTTAAATGGTTGTCCTAATTTGGTTGGAATCTCAATTGAAGCATTACCATCGCTGAGGGGTCTAAGTATATGTGATTGTGGTCATGAGGTGTTGACAAGTCTGGTTCGTGTCGCTTCATCAGCCACCAAGTTGGATATAAATGGTATTTCAGGACTTAATGATCAGGTGTGGGGAGGTGTTATAGAGTATCTTGCGGCAGTTGAAGAAGTAAGGATCACAGGGTGTAATGAAATAAGATACTTGTGGGAATCAGAAGCAGAGGCAAGTAAGGTTCTTGTGAATTTAAGGACGTTGTTTGTAAATAATTGTTCAAATTTGGTGAGTTTAGGAGAGAAAGAGGAGGATAATTGTGCGAGCAACCTAACATCTCTTACGACCTTGACCCTATGGAGTTGTAAAAGCTTGGAGCATTGCAGCTGTCCAAATAACCTTAAGTCACTTACCATCCAATCTTGTAATAAATTAACGGAAAAGGAGTTGGTAGGAGGACAAGAGAAGACTAAGGCAGTGATCAGTTCGAACATATTGATGCTTGAATCTGTAGTTATAATTGATTGGCCAAATCTGAAATCGGTAACTGATTTGAGTTCCTTCAATCACCTCAGCCGTCTCATTATAGACAATTGTCCAAATATGGAGTCATTTCCTGACCACGAGTTGCCAAAACTCAGTGTGTTAACACATCTAACGATAGTAGATTGTCAAAGCTTGGATGCTTCCTTTTCTGGTAGGCTTTGGCCTCCAAAATTGTGTCACCTTGCAATAGGGGGGTTGAAGAAGCCCATTTCAAAGTGGGGTCCACAGATTTTTCCAACTTCACTTGTGAGCATAAGTTTAAGAGGTGGAAAGTCGGAAGATGTGAGTAATTTCAGTCATTTGACCCATCTTCTTCCTTCATCTCTTACTACTCTTGATATATATAGATTTGAGAAACTGGAATCAATTTCAATGGAACTCCAACACCTCACCTCCCTCCAGCATCTCCATTTCTAATTGCCCAAAGACCATAAATCTACCAGAAATGTTGTTGCCTTCACTTTTGAGTTTGATGATATTTAAATGCCCAAATCTTGAAGAAAGGTGTAGTAAAAGAGGCTCCTACTGGCCCCTCATCTCACATATCCCCCTCATTCATATATCCTGAGGAGTTACAAACTTAATCTGAAGGTATGCTCCTCCCTCTGCAGTTGAAAAATTATAAATATAATAACTGATTTTGCTTTCTTTCAATCAACAAAATTGAAATACTATATCAACATAAACATATATACACCGCACTTCCAAACATGATGATACAAGAAAATGTAAGCCCGTCCCTCTGCCTTTGACTTCTTTTGGTTTATCTACACATAAATTTAATAATACAGTTTGCATTCACTATAAAAGCAGCCCCTATAGATTTTCTTAGCATAAAGTATGTTTATCACATAAAATAAATTTGTATGTCAATATCAGGAAGTTTTTTTGTTGAAAAATATTATTTAGTTGTGAACATGGAAAGGCTATGATGGATTGCAAAATATTAGAACAAAATGGTGGGACTGGTTTCATCTTGTATGCTTATTAATGTTATCAATTATTATTCACAAGTCTTACCTAGCCCCTTTATCGGAATATCATTTAGTTTTTCTGAGATTAAATAACTTCATCTTTGTCGGTTGGAAAATGAAATGATGTGCATCGTATATGCGGTGTAGACCTAGCATAGTTCAAGTAAATGAATATGCAAGAATTTACATGTCACATCATCCCATTTGCATAAATTTTAGTGTTAGAGAAGCTTTAATTATCGTGAATCAATGTGTTCTAAAGATTTCACGGATAAATACGTGAGACTTGTTTTAGATTATCATGTTAATTTCCTTGTTCTTATTTTTGTATAACCTTTCAAGTGCAGGTAAAGTGTGAGCAGAAACCGATACATTCCTGATTTCTGCATATGCTTCTCTACAACTTTCAAGGGGTAATACAAATGTTTTGTTCATTGCCAACAAGTTGTATACGAAACATTAGAAGCTCATCTATATATGTATCAATAATGGGAAAATAAATAAGTACAAGGGGTTTATTACTTGTATTTTATTTAACAAAATAGAAAGGAGAAATCATTTTTAATTATTACCATTTATTTGCAAGAGTTTTTTGAACAAACAGAGTGCGTTGTATTTTCATTTTAACAGGGAAGACGGATTAGTTTTGAGGTGCTCTCTCTTTGCTTTTCTTTTTGTTTAATTAGATCATCGAGCTTCCCTCTTTATATTTACTTCAGTTACAACTTTTAGCTACTTGTTTTTTCATTTCACAAGTTAATCTAAAGAGGGAACTAACCAAGAATATACCCATGTGATTTGACGCATGATGCATCAATTGACAACGTATGATGAGAGATTTGCAATTTTCATAGCATGCTTGTTAATTGCCTATAAGATTGGGTTGTTCATTTAACCAACTTAAGTATGGTACTTTAAAATTTGATTTCTTATTAGGTCATTGTACTTCCAAAAGTTACTATAATAACAACTCAATGAAAGTGCCTTACTATTTGAATTTGGATGACACTGCTATAATTGAAAATATTTTTCGAAGTACAAGTTGTAATATGACTGAAAACAGGATGAGATAATAACAAATCAGTGAAACTATGTTGCTATTTTTTGCATATAACCAATTAACCATGATCATTAATAGATATAACTTAGTTATAATAACAAAAAGAACATATTAGGGTCGACAAGCACATTTGTAAATTAATTGAAACGATTTTCCAAATTTAACCATGATTTCGCAACAACCGACCCTCGGTATACTTATGCTAAATAATATGAGACCAGAGTGTGATATCGCAATGATGGAAACACCATTTTGTGCCTACACATGAAAAGTTAACTTTTTAATGACTTCAATCTCTAAATGATACGTGCTAAACCCTCTACTTTACAAGTTTCCATCATCACTAGGGTCCTCTAGACCTCTAAAACTGTTATGCTCATAAGAATTGTGAATATATGATTAAAGGAATGTTATTTGACTGATAGGGGTATTCAAAAGTAGATAAGGAAACCGAGACGAAAAGAGAGAATCAACTTGGAATAATGGAGAAAACTCCATCCATGTGAACACCAAATCAATCGCTGTTTAACAATCATGATAGAATATAACTTGTAGAATATATTAGTGACAATAAAAGAGATAGTATCATACAAAGATAGTGGCTCAATGGTGATCATGATCACTAGAAAGAAATGAGGTTTGTTTTTGTATATGTTGAAATAAACACAAGTAGCTTTGATGCTACTATATTTACAGTTTGTGAAGCAGTATTCAGACCCACATTCCAAATTTTAAGAATCAATTTGGTCAATTAGATATGATACAAACAGGCCCTTGCTTCATATTATGCTGAACAAAGAACCTCTTTCAATGCTTAACAACTAAAACAAGGTATGAAAGTTAAATATCAATATAAGATTAGAAATGAAACAAATGATATGCTACAGGTTTTGAGAATCCATCTCAACATCATTTCTTACATCATCCAGTTCAACCAATAAGCTTTCATCAAGTGGAAAGTCATGACTTTTGAGTGTCATTAGTCATTGCTTCAGATTGATTGGGATGACTAATGTTATCATCCAAAGTGATCATTTTACGTGAAAAAATTAATAATTGGATTTATACTCCAGAAATTGCTTAGATGTGGCAACTAGGGACATGTATATCCTGTCAGGAAATACACATTAATTGCTTTCCAAAAGACTACGTTTAACCATGGATTGCATTTGCATGTTATTATTGTTTCGATTCATAACTTCAGTCAAGCATTTTATCAAACAGATAACGTGCATGAAAAACTATCAAACAGAGGGTTCTTCAAATCGAATTATAAGCAAATAAATTGAAACTGATTGTTGAAACATGGAAGGTATCAAGGTAATATGGAAAAAGGTTTGGGTGATATAGAAAAGAAAACATTAGTTGCCATTTATTGTACATCAAACCTCTAAAATATGCCAGTCTTTTACTGTTACGGGGCTGAATCCAATTTAACACATTTTTTCTGGATAATAGTGAAAGCATTTTTGTTTTTTTATTTAAAATGTGTTGTCATCTTTTTATATTATAATCTGAGATAGGAATAACAGTTATGCATAACTGCTAGAAACGAACAAGTGGAGATAGGCATAACTGCTAAAAACGAGGAGAAAATCCATGTAATGAATCAGCATCATGCCATGAATCTATAGGAATTTCAGGGATTTAGAGACGCAAAACCTAAATTTTATGAACTCAAAATGAGAAATTAAATATCCTCCTACTTTTTCTTGTTACAAATCTTCCTATGTAATTAAATGATGACATGTGTTATATTTAATGCTTATTTAATGGTATTTTAGCATACTAAAATGATATATGTAATCATTTAATAGGGTAATATGATTTGTAGGAATAAAAATAGGAGGATATTTAGGGGGTGTTTGGATAGGAAAAAAAGAAGTGTTTATTGTTTATTCCCACAATAAGCTAATTTGAGTATTTGGATAAAATCCAGCTTATTAAACTAAATAAGCTAATTTTAATAAGCATCCCTGCTCATGCTTATTGCTTATTACTTATTCCCACCACAAATAAGCTATAAGCAATAAGCTAAAAAGTTAATCCAAACACCCCCTTAATTTCTCACTCAAAATTGCAAGGCCCAGATATGGATTCAATGTTACAGAGTCCACATATCATGGACTTCAAATCAACAGGCACAATGAAACTTAATATTGATTGAAAAAGATCCTACCAGCGATGGCAGCCCAGCAGAAAAGATGGTCAATTAAGAGTTTCCAGGTAAACAAATCTCCATCAAAATCAAATAATTCTCCAGAAATAGAAGAAAAAGAGACAAAATTTGTATTCCAAGATGACACTGCTAATCAAGGCCATTATCGTTTCTATGTGATTAGGAGCATTGTGGGTGAAAAACATAAGAAAGATGCTGATCCAGTCCAGTAAGGAATAAGAGATCATCCCCGAGGTACAAGTATCCTATGCATAATAAGCCTTCTAACAATTTTAGCTCTTCCGGTGATGTTGAAGATGAAGAAAATGATATGCACTTGATGGTGATTTTTTGGGAAGTTATGAAAATAGAAGATGTTAAAATGGTAATCTCACAAGGTACCCAAGAATTGTTGAAAAAAATGCTGAGATTAGAATTGTAGATTGGTTAAAGGGTTCTATAATCTTAGGCATAAGTTTCAAGTGGGATTAAGGAAAGATTTGAATATTGGATGCGAGTTAGCAGTGAGAGGGGCAATTAGGTCATTTTCCGGTAGGATTAGTTAGACCAGTTTATTATAAATAGGAGGTTAGTGTTAGGGCATGTTTGGGTTAGCTTTTTTAAGCCAAAAGTGATTTTTAAGAAAAGTGTTTATTAGTTTATGATTTTAAAAAGTGTTTGGATAAGAAAATATATTTTTCAGGAGTAAAATGGCTTAAAAAACTAAAAAAGTAGGATTTTCAAGTTTTTTGAAAGCTTTACTTTTTCCTATCGAAAAAGCTATTTTAAAAAGCGCTTTTTAAATAGACAAACACTTTTTTAGCTTATTAGCTTTTTGAAAAGCTAAAAAAGCTAATAAGCTATTTTAAAAAGGTATCCCAAACACCCACTTAGTAGTTGCCATCTTTAGTGATAACAGAGTTTAGGGAGAGTTCCTAGCCTCTCGAATAATAGTTAAACCTTTTGTAATCTTTTCAATATTCAGTCAAATCATTAGATTCTAAATACCTAAAGTAATAAATGGATATCAATTTTATTAATGGATTTACCTTTTGATTTCAAAATTCTCAAATTAAAGTTCATTAATTTCTTTTGTTTATTTATCTAGATTATTTGTTCAAATTTAAAATATAAAAAAACATTTCAATTTACAAATTTATTATTTTTCTTATTTTCTTATAAATTTAAAGCTCTCAAATATTTAGAATTTTATATCTAACTTTTTTTTTAAATTAACCCATATAATACATGGGTCTCACAACTAGTTGTTGAATATAACAATTGACATTTTCAAATGGGTAAAGTAACACGTGTAGTTATCAGGAAATAAATTATTCTAAAAATCTTAATGCTATAATTTTTGAAAGCACAAGATTTTTCAAGATACAAAAATATGAGGTGGATCTTATATTACTTAGGGAGAATTTCGTATATACCTTTATTAAATATCAAAATATTATATTTGTCTGACCTAACATCCAAATATCATATTTACCCTTCTTAATCTTTTAAAATATCAAATTGGCCCAAATTTAACTTTTAATCATTTCTAATCCCTTTTTTATATATTTAAATCATTAAAATTGAAAAATAATTAAATAGACTATATTGCCCTTACTTTATAGTTACCTTCTAAATAGCATACGATCAAAAGAATTTACATGTTTCCGTCACCGATGTTAACCAGTCACCGTCTTCATTCTTGACATCTCTCAGATTCCCTCAGTTCAAAAGAAACATTGAAGGAATATGTTGCAGGCTCTTCAAGTTTTAATGGAGTCAAAGAAATACAACAGAAAATCGGGACAACTCTGTGTGAAAAATGGAATTTTGGAGCCGGAGAAACCGAAAAAGTTAATTGGTTGGAGCCTTTTTTTCATGAGAGACAGTTGTTTCTATTAGGAAGTTTTATTTTCTCAAGAACAACAAATCATAATTTCTTGATTCCTTATCATCAGATGATTTCAACAATGATTTTTGTCAATTAGCCCTCAAGACATTGGAATTCTCAAGGAAAGGGAATTGGAAAGTTTGATTGCAGGAGAGATTGATGATGAACGCATTGAATTTGAACCCATTCTCCAAGATCATGAGAACAAACAACAGAATCTTGATTCTAATGGAAAATACTGATCAGATTCATGTATAGAAAAGATGGAATCAGTTAATGAACTCATGAAAGGAAACAGGTTTTTAGGATTCAAGATTCTAGAGGTTTAAGATCAATATTTTAAGAGACTAAGATTCCAGCCTTCAACATACATTTATACAGGGGCTTCAATCATTCAAGATTCTAGATGCATGTCTCCTGTTTGCTTAATTATGTTTCCAAAATGAAGGGCATCTATGGAAATTATATTGTTATGAAAGCAACGGTGTAGAAGTTTGAGATCAAGAACATAACTTTCATCATATTCACCTGATAAAATTGATCAATGTCATGAACGGAGATGAAGAGAAGGCAAATAGGAATACCAACAATTTACAAATGCATGCCACTTAAACTTGATTTCAAGACGTAAGGTGGAGATAGGAGAAGAAGGAGGATGACGAAGACATGTTAACACCAGCAATTGAAGCCAGCGAGAGGTAAAAAAATTTGATCGTATATATATCATGTCATTTAGAAAGTAAGGGCAATATGGTCCATTGATATTATCTTTTCAATTTTAGTGATTTAAAAATTTTAAAACATTGTAAATTATTAAAAACTAATAATAACAATCATATTTGGGTAAATTTGATATTTTAAAATATTAAAAAAGGTAAATATGATATTTAGATGTTAGGTCGGACAAATGTGATATTTTGCCCTTTAATAAGGTCATATACGAAATTCTCCCTATTACTTAAATAACTGGAAGTACATTGGTATAGTTTTGTCGTTACACCCTAATAAGCACTTTTATAGACAAGCGCGAAATTCGAAACAAACTATTGTATGTGTTAAATTTTTATGACATTTTTATTATTATAATCCATTTTCAAATATTTCAACTTGCTAAAATAGATGTTAATCACCATTTGACAAGATAAAAATTAATTAAAAGGTGATTTGCCTCTCAGGGCCGGTCCAAATGTATATGGGGCCCGGGGCGAAAAGAAAAAAAAAGAGCCCCTTAAAGATAAATATAATAAAGATTCAAAAAAAATATCATTTATTATTGACTATAAACACATTAATTAACAATAAGAAGCAAGCCAAATTCTTTATCTTTTGAGCTAGTTTAAGTTTGAACCAACTTTAGGCCCTAAAAATCATTTTGGTAATAATTTTTTATATATATACACTATATAGCCCACAAAATTTGGGCCTCTAGGAGTCGTGGGCCCTGGGCGGTCGCCCGGGTTGCGCACCGTCTGGACCGGCCCTGTTGCCTCTTTTATGCTACTATATCAACCGTATCTTTTGAATATTGGATTAATAGCATTGAGTCTGCACCATGAATCAGATCAAGGGTGTACTCATAACAAGTTTTAGATAAAATTTTGTAAATAAATTGGCTAAGAGATTTAAGTTCACGAGATTGAAAAGAGGAGTTGGGAGATATAAAATCAATTTGAAAAGGGAAACTGAAGGATCTAACTAAAAGAAAATTGAAGAGAGAACACCTCATGTTTGTTTGTAGCAACTCAGCTGCTTTCTGGCATCTCATCTAAACAATTCAAATGCAATTTGTACAAAAGCACACATTGCTCGATACTAAATCATTCACGTTAATCAGGTTTGAATCTAGCATCAACAATGATCGATCAAGTTGAGTTAAATCTTTGTTACTCCTTTTGGTACAAAGAACATATATCACCATAAAATATTTTGGTCATCTACATCTATAAATGCAGTACTGTAGGCACGTATAAAAATGATCCAATTACATGACAACAAGCAAGAGATTCCAAGGAACTCATACTTGTTGAATAAATAGAAATGATTCAATTACACCTCAGTTGTGGTGAACAAAAACATCTAAATTTTTCCATGGAAGTCGATTTCTCTGCTTGTAGAGAATCATATGCAGAACTCAGGAACACTTATCTGCAATCAAATGTTTAAACAAAATCAGAACGAGAAAGTAAGATGATAGTCTAAACAAGCCTTCACATGTTTATCCATTCAAATTTCGTAGAACACTTCAAGAAGTGCATTTGGGACATCGATTATTTTTTTCACATGAAACCGAATTTTACTAAATAACTAGCTAAATCATATTCCTCAACAATAGGACTTGCTTATATCATGACAAAAACTTATCATTTATGATATACTCACTAACGTCTGTTTTCTTGGTGAAAGCAAAACCTATTATCTAATTTATGTATATATTGATCTATAAAGTATAAACTACAAGAGGTCAAAAATAGAGGAAGGGGATTACCTTCATATTAATTTTGTAATTCCCAGAGAGCCTCTTCTACTCTTTTAGCAGTTGTCAACAGTGAGATGCTAGAGAGAAGTGAGGTTTTGGAGTCTCACTGAAACTTATTTCAATTTCATAAAGCAAAGAGTGCAAGTGTTGTGACTTCAAAATGTTGGAACATTGGATGGTCTCCCTGTTTATGTTCTGTTTTCAGCCTATCTCTTAAACATAGAGACTGCAGAATAAATCAAAATCAACATATTTAATGAAACCACCCTCCATACACTTGATCAATGTCATTTTAAATAATAGGTTGTAATGAGTTTAGTTAATTAGTATTACTCATAGGTTAGATGGATTGTTGAACAAAGAGAATTATAATTGACATTTTCAAATGGACGAAGTGACAGGTGTTAAATAATTTGAAAAATCTCATGTATGTAAAATAATTCATCATTTGAACATGTTCATATTATTTGTTTGTACTTTATTTAAATATTAGTACAAAGTTTTCAAAATCTAAATCATACAACTTCCACGAATAATACAAACTCTACAATCAATCCTAATTCACAAATTATTTTAGGATTTCAAATCTGCTGTTTTTTCTTACAAATTTGAAGTATTTATGTTTGTTATAACCATTTTCACTTAATTTGGAATTCATGATGGGTTTTCCATGTACACAACTTTAATCTTATTCAATAATTAGATAGCAAAAAAGAAGCAATTGCATGTCCATGTCACCAACCATATATCGACACACAAACAATATGATGCTTATGTTGATACTTGATATAATATATGCATTTTGTTGATTGAAAGAATATATGCATATTCAATTATTATATTTATAATTTTTCAATGGTGGAGGGAGAAGCATACCTTCAGATTAAGTTTGTTACTCCTCAGGTAACTCTGAGATATCTCATCGAAGGGGATACGTGATACGAGGGGCCCGTAGGAACCTCTTTTACTACTCCTTTCTTTCAGAATTGGGCATCCATAGATTTCCAAACTCAAAAGTGAAGGCAGCAACATTTCTGGTAGATCTCTTGTCTTTGGGCATTCAAAAACAATGAGAAGTTGGAGGGAGGTGAGGTGTTGGAGTCCCGTAGAAATTGATTCCACTTTCTCAAATTCATATATTTCAAGAGAAGTGAGAGATTAAGGAAGAAGATGGGACAACTGACTCAAATTACTCACATCTCCTGACTGTCCACCTGTTAAACATAGGCTCACAAGTGAGGTTGGAAATGTCTGTGGGCCCCACTTTGACATGGACTTCTTCAACCCCCCTATCCTAAGCGAACACAATTTTGGAGGCCAAAGCCAAATAGAAAAGGAAGCATCCAAACTTTCACAATCTAATATTGTCAGATGTGTTAACACATTGAGTTCTGGCAACTCGTGGTCAGGAAATGACTCCAAATTTGGACAATTGATTATTACGAGTTGCCTGATGTGATTGAAGGAACTCAATTCAGCGATCGATTTCAGATTTGGCCAATCAACTGTACACAAAGTATCAAGCATGAGTATGTTTGAGTTGATCAGAGGCTTCTCTCATGCTCCTACCAACTCCTTTTCCAATAACTTATTACAATTCTCGATGTAAAGTGTCATAAGGCTATTTGGACAGCTGCAATGTTCCAAGCTGTCACAACCCAATATGGACAAGCTTGTAAGAGATGTTAGGTTGCTCCCACAACTCTCCTCGTCCTCTTTCTCTCCTAAACTCACCAAATTTGAACAATTGCTTACAAACAACGTCCTTAAATTCACAAGAAGCTTACTTGCATCTACTTCTGATTCCCACAGGTATCTTATTTCATTACACTCTCTCATTCTTAATTCTTCAACTGCCCCAAGATACTCTATAACACCTCCCCACACATGATCATTAAGCCCAGAAATAGTTCTTATATCCAACTCAGTGATTGACGAAGCTACACCGACCAAACCTTTTAAAACTTTGTGGCCACAACCAATTATTGTTAGAACCCTCAATGAAGTTAATGCTTCAAGTGAGACTCTAACCAAATTAGGACAACTTTCAATATGAAGCTCTTGAAGGCATGGAAATGATGTACCGACAACCCTAATACTGGTTGACCAAACCTCCCACCCATCCATATCTCGAAAAGTTAAATTTACAAGTGAAGGGAATGCAAGACCAGACCCAAGCAACTCCAAACCCACAACTTTTACCTCATCCATGCCTTCAATAACCAACTCCTTAAGTAATGGTAATTTCCCAATTTGTGGTAGAGATGTACAACTTTTACAACCACTTATCGAAACACGAGTCAGCTGACTAAATGAGGGATCCCCAACCCAACTTGGAACTTCTATACCTCCATATGACACGATTTTGAGTTCTTTTAGAGTTACGTTATGAGGATTGAGCTTAGTGAGGACCTCCTTTTCAAGTGCTTCCTTTCGAGAACCATCAAATACATCACTCCATTCCAACTCTAAGTCGGTTAGCCTCTTTTCAGATAAGTTTGCTTCCTGTGCATACGTTAATCCGAGAACTTTTTCCAGCCCTTTAATATAAAGTTTCCCTTGAATAATCTTTAAATCCTTAAGCTTAGTTATTGAAAATCCATTTTCTCCTTCAATAACAATCCCATAGAGAGTTTTTAGGCTTTTCAACTCAAGAATCCCTAATGGCATCTTCTTCAAAAGTGGAGTATCCCGCATGTCAAAATGCAGCAAATTTTTAAGCTTTGAGAACGTCTCCGGCAATTTTTTCAAACTCTCACAGCCAGAAACAATCAATGTCTGTAAATTATAAAGGTTGCAGACATGATCTGGTACATGTGTGATTTTAGTCCGAGATAAATTAAGATAACGCAAGTGCTTCAAACTACTAATGGATTTAGGTACCTCGCTTATGTTGAGTTGACACAAACTAAGGACCCTTAACAAAGGTAACTCATGAAGTAAGTTATCCAGGACCTTATTTGATAAATAAAATGTTCTCCAACTTTCTTTCATCCCAACATACACCAATAAGAATGTTCTCAAATTCTAGCTCCTTTGAATGCCTTAAACCTTTTGTAAACCATGTACTCCTCACAAACAAATGAGAAATGGCGGTGCTTTTCCAAAGTTTCCTTCCTAAATTCCTTCTTCATCTCAATGTCTAACCTTGAAAAAAATCTCCAGCAACAGATGTGGCCAAGTCATTCATTAAATGATTTGTCATCAAGTGCATGTTGAAAAAATGACCTTGCCAACAAGTCTTCAAAACCTTCAAGACCCAATCGTTCCATTGACTTGCTGGTGGTTGATTTATGCAAAAATCCTTCTGCCATCCACAATAGAATCAACTCCTCCTTATCAAACACATAGTCTTTAGGGAACAAGGAACAATATGCAAACAACTGCTTCAAGGAGGCAGAAAGATCATGGTAGCTTAGTCTAACTGTCTAAGAGCAGGGACAGTCTCATCCCTTTTTCCTAACGTCCATATCTCACTATTAAGCAGCTCCTTCCATTCTTCCTCATCTGTTTTTGTCCTCAATAGCCTCCCAAGTGTTCTTAAAGCCAAGGGCAAGCCATCACATTTTTTCACAAACCCTACCCCAAGTGGTCTTAGTGTTGGTTATGAATCAAATTTGGCTACACCCAATGCATGTTAAGCAAATAATGACAGAGCATCATCATCTGACAAACTCTGTAGTGGGTCTAGATGAGCGTAACCCAACTGTTTGAGCAATTGCTCCTTTCGAGTTGTCATGATAATTCTACTTCCAGGAGCCCCTGCAAGAAACGGGCCCACTAATTTTTCCCAATCACCATAGCTTTCAGACCATACATCATCTAAAACTATTAGAAATAATTTATTCTTAAGTTTCTCTTTAAGAGCATCTTGAAGCAAATTTAAATCTTTAAAAATTTTATTATCTCCAGACACATTTTCATAAATAACTTTGCGTATATTTGAGATATCAAACTCATAAGAAACAGAAACCCAAGCCCTAACTTCGAAGTCATCCTTCACTTCCTTTTCTTCGTACAAGAGTCTGGCTAGAGTGGTCTTACCTACCCCATCCATACCAACTATAGGCACGATGCTAAACTTTTCATTACATGATTCATCTTTACCCCCCAACAACTTTTGAATCAATGCCTTCTTTTCAGCTTCACGTCCAACAATGCCAATTTCAGCTACCCTACCATCGTTTCTTTTAATTTTTGGCTTTTCATTTGTTGTCGCACTTAATCCAGGATTATTTTTTTCCCTCCATTAGTTCTTGCAACCTTGTGGAAATATCATCTAACTTGCGATGGATCCTAGTGCTTAATGAGAAATTTGTGCAACAAGTTGGGAGTAGCTTTCTTACCTTGTTGGTGATGACTCCAGATTGATCGGTGAATCCCCGATGCATAGCTTCGGTTGCCAAATCATAAAGCACGTCGTCTATATCATAAGCCAAATGCTGGAGATAGTTCAGCCATTCTTTAACAGCTTCCTGAGTTATTTCCTTCTGAGAAGCATCATAAAGCAGAGCTTGGATCCGGTTTAATGACCTCTTCAGTTTATTTAGCTCAGAATCAATTCCCTTGGCACGAGCAATCTTTTGCATGGCTTCGGAGGCCATCTTTTCAAAAAACACAGTGAAGAAGGCAGAAACAATGACGTCAGCCATGGCTTATTTTTAGAGCAGAGAATGTAGTAGAGATATGGATGAAATGGTTGCACAAATTATTTGCATGTTAGATTTTGACATCCCTTTTCTAACATGTAAATAATGTTGTTGGATCCTAGCCCTAATTTCTCATTTGGGTGTTTAATTGGGGATTTATTTCTAATCAAACTTTGTTCTTGTCCTTTTCAGATGTCGAACATGAACAACAACAATGCTTCTGGCTCGAATTCCTCCGACTCGTTACATGAACAACAACAACGCTTCCAGCTCGTTCTCACTCATGAACTTGTGTGGGAGGGTGATATTTGACAGAAACAATTTCAATGATTGGATCCGTAACATAAGAATGGTCGCCCGCTACAAGGACAAAGAGTATGTCCTTGACAAGGAACTAAAGGAGATGGACATGAACACTGCCGCTCTCGAAGAGATCGCTGCCTTTAAGGCCCACGAGCGTGATGCCACGAAAGTCCATTGCATCATGCTAGCAACAATGACTTCTGAACTCCAAAAGTCCTATAAGGACATGTATCCCTATGAGATGTATCAAGACTTGTTGGACCGGTACCACCAGAGCGCGAGGCAAGAAAGGTACGAGATCATCACTTCGATGATCACTACTAGAATGGGCAATGGAGAGTTGATATGTGCATATTTAGCTATACATTGTTGGATAAGGTGTCTAAGTCCATAACTGTATTTGGTAAGTACTTGTCCCGACCTGGCATTGTCCATTTGGGTTGCATGGCATCATGCATTTGGATAGACTAAATGAGAGAAATAACACTTGTGGTTTATTAATATATTATAAGTTCTAATATATTAATAGTATTATTTAATTAGTATTGATCAACAATTAATTTGGAATTAATTAAGTGATCAAAAGATGACTAATTAAATATATGGGTTGATTATGTAAATCATCCATAACTTGTATAGTGGGCTAAAAGGCTCCATGGATTATCAAGTTGGGTTAAACCCATAGGATGATCTATGGATGCTCAATGGGAGTTACAAACCCATGGGTCATGGAAATGAAGAATCATGTCACATTAGGATTTACATGGTGTAACCCTAGATGTGACACACTATATAAGGAACATGATACTCACCAAAACCAGCTACACTAAGAACAAGAGAGGGCTAGGCCGATTTTTACAAGTGTCATACATTCTCTTAAGTTATTCCAAAGCATTTGGTGTTCTGTGAAGCATTTGAGGCATCACACTTGGGGTGCTAGGCTTTTAGGGTTTTCATGGAATCAAATCAACTACAAGGTATGTAATTCTAGCCATCTTTTAGAATAAAAGTTCCCCATGTATGCTAGATAGGATTATGAACCTTGGAAATCATACTTTGCATGTATTTTAGACAAACATATATCCAAGGTTTTCTAAGGTTGCATGTACACTTAAGGGTGTTAGAATGCTCAAAACCCATCAATGGTATCAGAGACTAGGCTTGTTTGCTAATACTTGATGCAAAATAGTGAAAAAAATTAAATTTTGAGCTGTCTGCATAGGGGACTCGACGATTCCATGGGGGAGAACTTGACGAGTCCAAGTGAAAATGCATCCAACTCGGCGAGTCAGTTCGTGTACTCGACGAGTTGGCTAGGCAGAGTGCAGAATTTTGATTTTTGCTGCTGGAAATGGACTAGAAACATTACCCTAAACTGTTTTGGTGTTGTAAAACTTGTTTTAGATGGTGTAATGGTTATTCTAATCCATTTACAATGGCTAATGTCTTTTTTTCATGATCTTATGTGTTCATATGTTCTTGAAACTTTGATATGAATATTCATGTTCTTATGAGTTTTTTGATAGATCATAGGAATTACTTGTTTAAATGTTTAATTCATGATCGTTATGTGTTTTAATGAAGTCCATAACTTGTCCTCAAGTTATGGATAACAAAAGTCTCTTTGTGTTAAAAGCCATTAAAAGAACAATAAGTTATAAAATGAAGAGTCTTCATTTTAATAACTCATAAGTTACGAATGTGAAAGGTTTTGTAAAGTTACAAAACTTGCCCTCAAGTTTTGGAACATGTAAAGTCGCTTAATAAACTTTAGTTCCATCCCCTAGATTTTTAAAACTTAAAAATCAACCCTTATACTTTATAATATTATAAGTTAGTAATATATATATATATATATATATATATATATATATATATATATATATAAGAGCAAGTCGTCTTACCATTAGTAGGCTTCATTCACGAAGCTGGTCTATAAGGGGAGTATAAGGTTGCTGCCTATAAAATGGTAGCTTAATGGGTGTCCACTCTCACCCACCGCTTCCTTGATCGGTGGAGCGTGTGTGGTTAACCGGTACACTAACCTGGACTTAACAAGGTAGGTAAAGGGTGACTTAAAGTTTATTATAGGTCGGTGGAGCGCGTGTGGTTAACTAGCACATCGATTGAGTGATAAACTTTAAGGGTACCAAATGATTTGTATGGTTACTTCACACCTCGTTTTGTGATCCTCAGTATCTCAGTCACAAAACTTGGAGGGCACACTCGAGATTGAAACATGCCTTTGAAAAGTTCATTGAATCTCAAAGGAATCTAGGAATTTCTAAGAACCAATTAAAACCTAATAATTTATATTTCGGTTTTTGGTGGAAATTGGTGAATCGTCATTCACCTACCTTTCAAATATGTTATAGCTTAGATTACGGCATACCTCTTCTAAGTTATGATATATATTGTGATTGGATCCTAGCCTTAATATTACATTTGGGTGTTTTATTAAGGACTACCTTAATATCTAAACTAAACTTGTTCTCTTCTTTTTTAGATGTCTTCCAACAACACTGCTTCTATCTCAAACCCTACTGGCTCCTTTTCCCTCATGAACCTATGTGGGAGGGTCATCTTCGATGGTTCCAACTTTATGGATTGGATCCGGAACATCAGGATGGTGACTCATTACGAGGACAAGGAATATGTCCTCGATAAGGAGCTAAAGGAGATCGATGAGTCCATTGCTACTCCCCAGGAGATCGTTGACTTTCGGACTCATGAAAAAGATGCCACCAAAATAGCATGCATCTTGATGGCCACCATGAAAGCTGAATTCCAGAAGTCCTATGAAGACTACTAACCTTTTGAGATGCACCAAGATATTATGGAAAAATACCATCATAGTGCTCGTCAAGAGCGGTATGAAATAATCTCCTCCATGATAACAACCAGGATGAAGGACGAAGATTCCGTCACTAGCTACATGAAGAAAATGCAAAGCTATGTGGATCGTTTGTTGAAGCTTAATGTGAACTTCCCTGAGGAGCTTGCAATAGATATCATTTTGCACTCCTTACCCTTATGTTATGATCAATTCCGCATGACATATCACATGAATAAGGAAGAAGTCACACTCAACAAACTTCAAGGACTCCTAAAGACCGCAGAAACAGGTCTTAAAGGTTAGTCGGTTGTTAACACTGTTGGATTAATGTCTAAGTCCATAACTATAATTGGTAAGACTTGACCCGACCCAGCATGGTCCATTTAGGTTGCATGACATCATGCACTTGGATAGACTAAATGAGAGAAATAAGACACTTATGGTTATTAATATATTATAAGTTCTAGTATATTAATAATAAGAATAATAAGATTATTTAATTAGTATTGATCAAGAATTAATCTAGGATTAATTAAGTAATCAAAAGAAGACTAATTAAATATATGGGTTGATTGTGCAAATCATCCATACTTATATAGTGGACTAATGCTCCATGGATTATCTAGTTGGGCTAAAACCCATGGATTATCAAAAGAAGACTAATTAAATATATGGGTTGATTGTGCAAATCATCCATACTTATATAGTGGACTAATGCTCCATGGATTATCTAGTTGGGCTAAAACCCATATGATGCTCCATGGTGTTTTTGTACCCATGGATCATGGAAATGAAAGGCCATGTTAATTAGGGTTTACATGGTGTAACCCTAACTATATATGCATCTTATTCTTGACCAAAATCGGTCACTAGTGTGTGTAAAAGGAAGGGCTAGACGATTTCATGTAGTGTAGAATTCTCTCAAGTTATTCCAAGTGTATTTGGTGTTTTGTGAACCATTTGAGGTGTTACACTTGAGGCACTAGGCACTCGAGCTTCATGAAGACATTCTACATCAAAGAGGTATGTATTATATCTTGTTATATTCATTGTTTTGTATGCTAGATTAGGATAATACCTTGGATGTTCATATTTGCATGTATAATAGAGAAAACATAGATCCAAGGTATTTAGGGTTGCATGTACACTTAGGAGTGTTAGAATGCTCAAAACCCAAAACTGGTATCAGAGCCTAGGCTTGTTTTCTTGTTATACTTGCAAAACTGCTTAAAAATTCGAAGTTGTTTGTTGTCTGATCATCAGACTCGGCGAGTCCATCAGGAGACTCGGCGAGTCCATGCCTAAAAAAGTGATCAAAACGATCCATAAGTTATAAAATAAAGAAAAGTGAATTGGACTAGGAACATTACCCTAAGATGTTTTTGAACTTATAAACTTGTTTTTTCATGTGGTAATGTAACCTTAATTAACTCCATAAGTTATAAAATAAAGAAAAGTGAATTCTTTTATTAGTTTAAAGTCTTCCATAACTTGTCCTCAAGTTATGGAACTTGAAGAGTTTTTGGATTAAAACTACTTTAAACACATAAGTTATGGAATTAATTAGTTTTGAATAGTTTCAAAACTTGCCCTCAAGTTTTGGAATTTGAAAAGTGTTCACTTATGAATACTCTAATTCCATGTTAGCCCTTAGAATTTTAAAAGTTAAAATTCAACCCTTATACTTTATAATATTATAAGTTAATAATATTTATATATATGTATAAGAGTAAAGTCAGTCTTACCGTTAGTAGGCCTCATTCACGAAGCCGGTCTATAAGGGGGGTATAAGGTTACTGCCTATAAAATGGCAGTTTAATGGGTGTCCACTCTCACCCACCGCTTCCTTGACTGGTGGAGGGTC